TGACTCCTTCCCTCCTCGGTTGTTTCTCTCTCGGGACGTTGCCTGTGTTCCTTACCACGTCTACCTTTTCTTGTCGTCTCTTCTCATTCGCTCAGAAGTTTGTTGTTACCACCCCTCCCACTTAATATTTTACATTATTTGCTTCGTTACAATCAAGCACAATGTTATCATTTGGTGCTATTTGCTTTGGGATGCTGTGTGTGATTGGTTTGTGAGGAAAAAGGGGGGATGTGGTTTGCTGTTTCTTAGCCTTCTATTGAAGTCCTGATGACCTGATAACAATTGATCAGGGTGTATCTTTGCTAATACCTGCTATGGCATCTGCCATTTTAGGTTTTTATCACTTTAATGTGTAGTTTCATAGTATTTGGGTAGATCCGTGCACGATGTCTCTACAGTGACAGTGCTGTTCACTGCTTTGGGGGATTCAACATATTTGTCTTGTTTCTTTTCGAATGCTAAGGACAGATCTGAGTGTAGCTAATGACCCTTTCAAGACTGGAATATAATTTATAGATGTCCAGTGGTTGTGATGTTTTCATACGTTCCTTGAAGGTTTAGAACTACAAATAGGAAGAATTTTATTTTCTTAGGTTTCTGTCTCTGAATGCAATGTTGTTCATGATCAACTTAGTGTCAAATCCCTTTATAGTTATCTTGCAACTGAAATCTGTGAATTCTGTGAATATAGAGGGAAGAAGGTGAGAAGCTAGTGTTGAACCTAAGAAATAGGTACTTAGTGTGGTTTTGTGACGTGTGCAGTTTGATTTCATAGCTGGTGTAAAGCTCTGTGCTGTTTGCACTACAATCCTTATTTCCCTGTCTTAAGAGCTAATGAGAATTGTCTGGTAATGAATTGTTCATCAAAATATCAATGTCCTGATTAACTGTAGACTATAGATCTGGGTTTATCTTTCTTAATACTTTCTATGGCATCTGCTGTGTAATAGTTTTATCACTTTAATCTCTAATTTCATAATGGTTGGGCAGATCCAAGAGTGATGACTCCAGAGTACAGCGCTGTTCACCTCTTCAATAGATTCAACTTTTTTGCCTTGTTTCTTTACAATTTCTAAAGACAGATGTCTGTGTACTTGATAACCTATTTAAAACTGTAATATCACTGATAGATGTTCAATGGTGGTGTTGTTTCCATACATTTCCACTTCTACATCAAGATGTATGGAGTGTAGAAATGTCTTTCTACCCATCCATACTGAGCATAGAAGAAAAGATACTTTGATGATTTCCATTTGCCTGTGGCGAAGATGAAATACAATCTTAACAGTTATGTTTGCCACAGGATTGATGGTATAGAGTGTGAAGAGCTCATGGAGGAAATAGGTGATGTGGTTTGATGATTTGCAGTCTTCTATCTGGAGTTTGGTATATTGGAGTTTTCACTGTGGTTTAGTTTTTTGAAAGTGTAAATAATAGGTGTTATTATAGAGATTATTGCAGCTGTCGCATTTTTTTTTTTTCCACTTGACCTTGTCCAGATTGTTCCGTGTGTATCCTTTATCACATTGCAGCTCATTCCTTATCCTTGTAAGCTCTGCCCAGACCAGCATGTGGTCCGAATCCGATATTGCCTCTTTGGGTTGGGCATATAGGAACAACAGAGTTGTCACTTTCAAGAAATCTTTCACTGAAATGCTCTTTGCTAGCAGCATTTCTGTTGGTGTTGTCAACTTTCTTTTCTCTTTTCTAATACCTAATTCAGCAGGTAGGATGAATCTCTATGGAGACAGGGCAGATGGAGGAGCTGAATTTTCTATGATTTTATCTTTATAGATGATAGGTATCCTAGTTCTTTCTAATTGTTGGGTATTTTTTATTTTCGATTGTTGTTTAGCTTTTTTTCCTTCTATATAATTTCTGTTTCTCATTTAAACTCTTCACAACCTCTCTGCATGATGATATGTTGAGAGAAGAAATGTCCCCCTATTTTCCCCTGATGTGGTTTTTGCACACGTAGTGGAGAAACGGGCTGGCCTACTGCTCCTTTGAAGCTGTCAGTTAACAACAGAAAATGAAGACAATATATATAGGGGTATAGTTTGGGAACTTCTTGGGGATGCTGTGTGTGTGAAGAACTTGTGGAGAAAAGAGGATTATTTGAATGCTGACTTCACAGGAATGGAGCAGACTATGCTGGAAGGTAACTGGTATGGTAAGAGATACTTTGTGTGTTTATCACTTTATCTCCATGTTGAATGGCATTTGCTGACAGTGAAGAAGGAGATCTGAGCAGTGGTTGGTAAGTCTTTCACTTGTCAGGTTTGCCTTGTTTGTTGTCAAAGTTTTAATCTAGTACTCAGTGTGGAAGAGAGCCTTCAGTGTACTGGACAATGTGACTTGAATGTTTACAGCAGTCAGGAAAAGGACTTGGATATGCTTACGCTTCCTTCACTTGTTGCTGAATGACATGCTCTTGCTAGGAACTGGCCGACTGCTTCTATAGTGACAGTGTTGTTGACCACCTTGATAGATTCAACATTTTTTGCTTTGTTTCTTTACGAATGCTAAAGGCAGATCTCAGTGTAGTTGATAAGTCTTTCAAGACTGGGATATAATTTATTAAGGTCCAATCGTGGAGATGTTTCAGTACATGTATTGAATGTTTAAAGCTGTCAATAGAAAAAAAATTAAATTCCTAGGGATGACCATTATATCTTCTTCAGGAGTTTCTCAGCCGTACTTCCTCTTTGAATGCTTCTATGTGCTGCTTGACTGTTGATAGCATTTCTTGAACTTATGTCCGTGTACATATGTTGAATTAAAAAAGGCAGTAAAAAATAGTATTGTATTTATTTTCTTTTCTGTAAAGTATTATCTCTTCATGTGCTACTAGCTGGGTATTTTGGGGGAGTAAGAGGTTGTGTAGAATGCCAGAGATGTGCGGGTAGCTCTTTGTTCTGTTCCTTTTTTTAAGTCTCTGCTGCCAATGTAAACCTTAGAAGATTAGAATGTCCGTTACAATTATGGAAATGAGGGAGTCGTTTCCATACGTTGACTATGTACAGCTGTCATCGATAAAACTAGTGTATATTTCTCTTCCAAAACAATGTCAGTGAATGAAATGCTCCTGGTGCTGTCTGACATAACAGTAGGAGTGTGGATACTGTCCATGGTGCTGACAGAGCCGGAGACTTCAGAGTGCTGTGTGTAGCAGGTTGGCTTAGAGTTTGGAAAATTGTTAAGAAGGCTCCGTCTGGCCTCTTGAAAGCAGACTTTCTTGTCTGGATTTCCTTTCACATCTGGTATCAATGCCTGCAACTATTTCTGCTACGATCATGGTTTCTTTAACCCTAGAGGCAGCATTGGTTCCCCCAGATTCATGTAATTGACAAAGGCTGCGTACGTAGAGTGGGCCTGAAAAGTGACAGCGACTGAATGCAGCTGGAGGTACTGGCTTCTGTGATGCTGAAGGCAAAGAAGAGAGGAAGAGTTTTGTGGGGAAAGATGTTCCCTGAAAACATTGACCTACGGCCATACCAGGGCCCTACCATATAGTACTGTCATATTACACCTACATGTACACCTGGCTGCATGTTTCTGATGGGTCTTGGTTTCCTTCAAACCCAGTGCCACAGTGTTTTCTTCCACTTTATGAGTAGGTA